TACTCGGTCGTGTCTGTACGTTACACCTTGAACACATCACGACATAAAATTTGAACAATTTTCATCAGTGAGGGCCAATTGCACCGTCAAAATTAAGTATCCCTTAAAGTTAAGCATAACTTAAATAAAATACCATAGCAACGATTGTCTTAATAATTGTTGCCATAGATTTTAAGTTCGACTTAACTTTAAGCAAGGCTTAATTTTTTTGGTGCAACTGGGTCTCAGTAGCTTAAAAACTTAAAAAATAATTTCGGTAGACAGCAATAGTAGCAAAAATATAACTCTTTCTACTTACCTAAGAAATAGTCGAAATATACATCAAGTCCCCATTTAATAAGTAATGACTTAAATTCGCTCATTTTGGGGTAGGTATGGCGTAAATTTCAGCTCTTGGTACACTAGGTACATATAATAAAACCGAATAAAACTTACACCCGCACAGCACAATGTACCTGCATGCGTATATGAAGAAATTGCTATATACCTACAGCTTTTATGGTCGTCAAAAAACGAACGAAAACGGCTTCTGAAGACGATTGCTACAAGTAGATGTTTACTCGCCATAAATTAGTATTTCATAACGCCAACTAAACTAAACGTTTGTGGCAGTTACAAAAACGTAATTAAACAAGAATATCAAATTCAATGCAACAGTTTTATAACTGCAGCGAAAACGCTATCTGCTGTTATTGTACCTATGAAAATCTACAAGCGTTTAGCAAGTATGTCTAATTGCCCTTATCCACCACTTCTAGAAAATCGATTTTACTTAGCACAGTATATGAGATTATTGTCATAAATTGATAACTAATTGAGGCAAATAAAAAGACATTTATTGTAATTAAAATATTTTCAGGTAGACACTTTGATTATATTATTTCTCTCAGTGTAGTGAGATAAAATGCAAATGTATTGATTTATCTAAACTCTATTTTAAAAGTTTATACTCCTGGTTCTTTGGGAATTATTTTTGTAGATAGCAAAAGGTACCTAGATACTGCTATTTTTGCCGACTAACAGCGAATTTTAAGAATGTCTAACCCAACAACATCTTTGGTCGACCACTAAAGCGGATATATATGAAACTAACAGATACTGGTATGACACAGTCGCTGACCAACTCGAGCCTATCTTATCTGGCCAGAACACAAGTAACAAAATAGTATATAATCCAAATATAGAACAAATGAAACAATAAATGAATTTTAATTATTTTATTTTTATTTTTAGTACATAGGTATAATGCGAAACTTGCAAAAACTTCGTTTCATTAATCAATAACTCATTGAAATCCGCCACTTCGATACTTTCAAGTTACCCATTTCGTATACTTGAATTTGTAACATTCTGTTACGGTCAACCGTATAATGATAACTTTAGTCATTAAGACTTGTATCTTCAACACTAATTAATGTAATTTTGATGGATGAAATCAAATTCTTTGTAATTCTTCTAAATCAGCCCAAATATATGGCATTTAGCTTTGCAGGTGTCGAGATTTCAAAATTTAACGCGTGAACCAAGATAATAATTTCAAAATTTTAGTTTTATACAAAATGGAAACGAAAGCTAGCTAAGAATTAAATATTGTTTATCAGCTATGTTCAATTAGATCATTAAGAAAGGAGATTTTTCGGTGAACTTCTTAAGTGAAATATTTCACATGGCACGCTGCAATTACCTATAGTTAAGATGTCTCATGTTAGCATGCAATTATACACAAAGGAAATAATTATCTACCTTGAAATTTTAATAGATTTTAAACACACAAAGGCTAAATTTATGAACCGTTAATGAAATTAATTTAAGAAAAAACACGTGGCTGCCTATATTCTGAAAATGGTGTCATCGGGTATGGATCTTAATTAAAAATAATTTTTCGTATATAGGTAAGTGATCCTTGTAGCTTTTCTCTATATGTAAAAAGGGCACATTCATATCTCGCAATAAATCAGATAATTAAATAGAAGGTAGGTACCACAATTCCTTATATATTCTTCGAGAAGCGGATGTTCGTTAAAGATAGCTGTACATTGTTTGATGTTATAATTTGTGAGAAACTTGCCATTAACCAAAACTGAAGCGCTTTTTAGAAGATATTGGCATTGTCTGATCGTTTATGAGAAATCACAAATAAAAAATGGCAGCCAGTGGAGCGGTTGAGCTGGGGTCTCACCATCGTACCGATCAATACCTATATTACACGGCTATTATTTTGTCCATAACTGTATTTATTCAACAACAATCAACTCACTGATAACCGCTTAACGCGAGCTGTCAAACTATAATTAATATTAGACGTGACCTAAAATGTTCACTGTCTTCTCTCAATCAAAATTATGTTGCTCATACCTTATTAAATAAATATGTTTTATATCCAAAAAGATATTTCCCATTTTCCAATCATTTCGAAAAATGTTTTGCCCTGTATCTTAGCAACAAAGCACTTTTTGAAAAATCATCAAATAAGGAAAAGTGTGGTATAAGTATAACTAATGAGAAATTCTTCAAGTACAACTCAAATATAGGATAAAAGACAAACACCAGATTACATTGGGTACCTAAGTATTATAAGTAGTAAATATACTACGTTTGAGATATACCAAAGGATATACCTAGATATGAAAATTTAAAAAAAAATTGGAATTATTCCACAAATGTTGAGGTAAAGAAAAATTTTTCTTGAATCTTTATTGAATTCTTTTAAATAGTATAACATAGGTCATTAAAAAGGTTATTTTTTCTCTTTCTTACCTTAATCATGAATAGTGTTAAATGAGAAAATGATGAAGACAAAACTCTGTCAAATGGTCCATATTTCAGAGAATTTATTTCTCACGTAATAGGTACCTACAGTAGTTGTAACGAAACACACCATTATGTATATTGTATTGATGTTATGTCACATTAAACATCAGCTCATTGTTTTTTTGTTAATTTTTAACGCTCTGTTAATTTAACGGTAGGGGTACCTATTTAGATTCCTAAATTTTAAGTGTAGGTAATACATTAGCCATCCAAGCGTATGTTTTTAATTTCCCTGCACTATTTGCTAAAGTCCGAATGTCACCTATGTTCAAAAACCATGTGTCAAAAAAATTGCTTAACCTCAAAATATGTGAAATAATTTCAAATGGAAGCGGTAAAATTTTGGTTCCATCCTTAATAGTCACCATGTATAATAATAGACAAGTACAAACAGTATATAGGGGCCGTTGATTTGATGTAACTATGAACCAATTTTTTGCCTTGGTTCCCTATTTGCCTTTAATAGATAATACCAGAGATGATAGGTAGTATGACTACGTAACTTATGGATGTAGGTACAATATTCTTATAAAAGGTAGGTACCTACTTCAAAATGGAACTCTATAGAATAAACGTGGGTGCTTACTGCTTAATCTATATACCTAATTTTACATTTAAATGAACGGAAGTAAGTAAATATACCTAAGTAAAAAATTACACTGGGCGTTTAAACTAACGGTACCAAATATTTTGAAGCAAACGCAAATCTTAAATTGTGTGTTAAAAATTAGATTGACCATCTGAAGTACCTACTTCCGCTTTCTCGTAGGCAAACGTGTTTTATTTACAATTTAATTTACAGTGATTAGGTACTTATATAAAAGCCATCCAATTATAGCAGAACGTTACCCACTCATAGGTAAAAAGTGGTCTACGCCACTGACTCCCCATTACAACGATTCTTTGTTTGAATTTGATTGGTTTTCAAAATATGCGTCACGGTTTGTTCTTTTAAACAAACTAAGACTTTCCCAAGCTTCTTCGCCGAAAAAGGGAGATGCATTTTGATATTTAAGAAACTCTTAGTAAGAGTAGATCAACTGTAACTGATTTAATATCCGGTTGTAGACGAACACTTTTAAATTTCCTTGCACGTGGTCAATAATTTTAAAAGTTTGGAAGAGTTTGCGCGACTAGTATCGATCACCAATTAGTTCCGCGTTGTCCCGAGTGGCGGGGAGCGGCGCTATACAAATTAGCAGGCATCAATTTAAAAGTCCGACCATAAAAAAGGGTTACAATAATAAAGAGATTTGAAACGTGATTGGATGGAACTGCACTTAATTTATTTAAATTAGGGAGGTAAATAATTTTACAATGAAGGTATAAACACAAGAATAGGTAGGTATGTGAAATTAAAGACACATTAACACCTACCTCTATTCCTATTGGCGGCATTTATTCCAGGGTCAATAGAATCCGGCTTCCAAATCATTTTGTAATTGACAACTCCTGGTGGCCATCATGGATTTTTACCTGTCTCGAATGATTTAAATGTTACCAAACACGCCCCTGGTGAATGTAGAATTTAGGTTGTCTTTTTAGTATAGTATGAATATACAGTGTACTTCATCACGGTAAATTTTATAGTAAGTGTTTATTCCATATCAATTATACATTGCCTAGGTTAGTAATTTAATGAGGAGCAATCTGTAGGTAAAGTGAAAGGCTCATTTAAATCATGGACGTACAGTAGGTACTTAATTGTGTAGGTAATTAAAGGTAATAGGGTTTGCAATAAAAGTGTAAAATAATACTCACATTGCCGTTTAGGGTATTTAAAGGGAATGCTTTTATTACAAGTGCACCAGTACTTATAAGAAGTCTACTCACCGTTAAGTATGTTAGCGTTACTGTATACAATAGTTAATATAAAGGTCAATGTAATAATTAAAGCCTAATGCTACCCTGGGTGGCATAATTGATTCAATTACGTATGCATGAACTATAACACGTAGGCGTTTTTTACCTCACATCATAAAATGCCACTTCACCTTCAAGATATACTCCCTAGTATGTACACGTCTCAAAACGTAATTTGGTAAGCTTAATATAAGACTATTTCATAAATTACGCGCAGTCTTGGTGGTTTTAATATGCCCTCGGCTTATTTCCATATTACATACCTATGGGTAAAAATATACAAACATCTCTAGGCATACAAAAGCTTGTTAAATTTCGTTTTGGCTGCGCGGTGAATAAATAAAACGCAAACTTTCATATTTATTAACAACAAATTACCAGGGAGATACATAAAAAAATGAGTTTTATCGACAGATCCTATAATTCTAGCTGATTTATTAATTATCGATTCAGGAAGGCCTTCATGTTTCATTATCAAATACGCCTACTCTTCTAATCATTCCCGCTGCTATACAATAGCTTATTTCCACGGTTATTTAAAGTGTAACTCAATGATTTTATTTATCAAATCTTCGATAAGGCTCGATAATTATTGCAATTTATAAAACCTATAAAATGACAAACAATGGTCTTTACACGCTGCAGTACGCTATAGTTCGTTTGCGAAGTAAGACCATTCTTCGTGTTTTTCAGCGTGAAGGTAAGCGCTTCTCTTCATAATTTGACCTGAAATTAGAAATGTAAATGTTAGATTTTGCGTTTTGCTGCTATTGCTTGTTTGGAGGTTGCCGCACTATATATAAATTGACCATTCAAGGGACTCGATCGGAAATGGTTACGATCTTATCGCTTTCAGTACTCTAGGAAATTGATATTTCTTTATTTTTCATTAATTTAATTCAACATTTACGAAGAAGTATTGGATGTCCCGTGAATTACCTATACTGTTGATGGAGCCGAGTTTTAATATTACCTATTCTGAAGTTTCCATTAGCGCCACTAAATTTTAACCTCAAAGATGCACGAAACTCTCAACAAGTATACCTAACCGATGTGGGCCTATTACACAGCTTTTGGTATATGTACTTCATTTTTAAAAGGGTTCTTGATATGTAAAGAACTCACATTTGCAAACAATGAAAGCCTTTCATTTTGGGAAAGCTGAAACGTAGATTTAGTCCCTAGCGTACTATTTTTGGTTTTAGATTGACCTAAACCCTCGTCTATTTTTTACTTTGACTTTTCATTCTCCAATTTCGGTATGCTTTACTTGAAGGTGAGCCAAAGGTTTATACCTATCGGTAAACGTATTTTATTTTGACTTGCCATGAAGACTCCGAATATTATTACAGTTTCCTTTAAGTAGGTCAACGTATGCCAATTCTATCTTACTGCAATCACTTCAAATGCAAAGTGGAAAATGTCTGCATCAATAAGGAAATTGAGATTTTAATTAAAATTTTTCAACATTAGAGCGTAAAATTAAACCCTTCTTACCACATCAGTTAGGGCTTAGATCTCACTTTTAATAAAGGTAAAACAGCCTTCAAGTATTCTAAATTGGTCTTTCATTGCAAATTCGAGTCACTCTTTAATTTTCTTGCAGAAGACAACCCAAATTGTACTACGTGGGTAGCTACTTCCAAAATAACTCTAAAGGTTTCAGTTACCTTACTAGGTACCTTTGTTCTTCATATTTTATGTAGATATCGATATATCTATCTCAAATTTACAATTTTAACGGCTCGCAATTTTCTTACACTTTCATAAAATTTACAGCACGTATACCCCATTTTAACAGAATAGGTACCACACATTTGAATGACGAATTTTAATTGCGTATTCTGCATAACTTAAGCTCAAACGGTTTATAAGATTACATTAAGGAGTAGATCACCCTTTCGTTTGACGTATTATTGTACTGTACGGAACGAACGCAAAATTGACGCTCCCACAGTGATAAAAAACAACTCCCGTTATACAAGAGCTAGAAAGTCTTATCTCTTTATATGGCTAACTTTATTATTGAGCTCCAAATGCGGTTAAATTAGGAAAGTTGGGCAGAACAAGTGCACGATCTTTTCAAGTTTCGCTTCAATTTGAAATTATTTGAAGCAATCTACGTCGCACCAGACACATTAAGTATATTTCACAATCTTTCATTCGATTGTGTTCTCTTATATACTTGAAGTAGATACCTAAGAATTCATAAGATGCACAACGTAAACTGTTCTTTTCATGACCAGCATAAATATAGACGCTTTTAATTTAATCAAATGGCAAATATCGACTTAATTTTGAAATGTCGACATCAATTTCGTAGATGCACTTGAAAATAGACGTGACAGATATTATTCATTTTTCATCTGGAGTATTTCGTTAAAACAGCTCGACATGCAAAATTTGAGGACGTAAATGAAGTATTCCATCCACCAGCCAGTCTTATAAATATTCAATTTATATTCTAAACACCGCGACTTCGTAGATATTGGTGTATATAGCTACGGAATTCCATAAGAGAATGTGACACTACACAAGAATTGTTTAATTTTGAAATAAATCATTTTTGTCGGCAAGCTTTCTTGACTACTAATTAGACGAGTGACAATAATGGGGTGTTCTACGTATAGCTTTAGTTATGAGTTATAGTGAAAACGAAGGATATTTCAATTCTCAAATATATTGCCTTCAACTTCCTATGGTATCCTACTTGTGAATGGTAATGAAGAAGATTGGGTAGAGGTAGAAGTTAGAATTGATTGGTAATCTTTTATTTTAATCCTTATTTAATTCAAAAGGTTTATTTTCTAATGAAATAAAAAAAATTGATTGAAATCATTATCTTGGTGTATGTATAGATACCGAACAATGTTATGGTATTAAAGTTTAATTTTATGTGTTTTACTTTTGTCAAAACTTTGGAAGTTGTAATTTCGTCTGCAACATAATTTTAATATTTTAATAGTTGTATTAAGTTTTTAAACGTCAATTTTAATTTAAACAACATTTCAGTTTTTGGAAATTTCCGCGTGGCATGCCGTGCCATAATTTTTATTGGCTGTTATACTAAAGTAATATTATTAATTAAAAATTGAAAAACACATTAAGGATTGAGCAAAGGTAAATTATTTTTCATTTCACAAGTAAATCAATTTACTGACTAAAAACTATATTAATAACAGAAATACTGAAAAATGTCAAGTTAAATTGAAGAATCTTACATCAAGAGTCACGAAATATGCAGTCAAAAAAGAAAAAAAAAAGTGCAATCCTGTACCACAAATACTTGCCTCATTTTTCTCTATAATTTTAATTCCATTGCCATGTACTTCTAACCCTGCTGTGCCTACTTCCATTATTAAGATTGAAAGAACGATTCTTCTTTACCTTGCTTCCCTCCTCAATTAAAGGTATCGTTGTTTATGACTTTGTAAGACTCCATTTTCTGTATGATACCTAATCATACGAGTTGCTCTAAACCTGCAAGTAGGTAAATTGGCAAATAACGGTTAAGTCATCCAGGTAATGGATATAACTTCAAATAATGTATTTCATAAACAACAGCGGCCTAAGGTTTGATCCTGCAGGGACCCCCTAATTTATCAGTATGTTCTCGCCTTAAATTTCCCGGGAAACATCGGACTACAGTCATAGTGGATTCCACGGTAGCTTTGAGGGGCACGGGGGTTCCCTCGTTAATTATTATATAATTTAATATAATATAAATCAATTTATATAATTATTATTTTTTATTTTTATATTAAAATAGCTACCTATATAATTTGGCTGGTTCCAAATAACGGTCAGTTTAACAAGCGTGACAACTTAACCAAAAACATTTCTAAGTTTGTGTAGATTACAGCAAACTGCAGTGTTGCCAATGGCCTCAAAATATACCTACCTATTTTAGCTGCGAGAAATATTACCTTATATACATAGCAGTCAATGCATCTTATTTTAATGGAGTGTTCGACTTGGTAAAATACCTATAGGTATGTCACAAATTGGTATAGAAATACCCATCTTCTCTCTACAAAAATATACATTAATGAACGTTCGTGACAAATGTCATTCATTTAATATGCGTTTTTAAAAGGTGAATCGCATTTCGCACAAATAAAGCAATTTTTTATTGCTTTTAAACTTTGCTAATCAACTCAGACATGTTGCAACAATCTTACAGACTTGGGGGAGAACGTGAATGTGAATGCTGCAGGTATTCGTCGTCACGTCAATAAAACCCTTGAAGAATCCTTAGATTAGATTAGAATCCTTAAAAGATTAAAATGACTGCAACACCAAAATAATGCATCAACGAATAAAACGGATTTCAATTTTAGTTTATCGCTTATCACAGATCATTGATGAAGAATAACAAATATGCACGTAAATTTCTCCTTGTTCGTAATGTGATTACCTATACCTACATCTAAAATACATCGATACTTTCGTATTATGAAGACTTTATCATATCGTGTCATTTAAGTTGACCTTTTCCATTAATATTAATACATCTGAAACGTTATATAACCTTCAACCGTCTATTGCCAACTAAAGATTTTTCACGCTTTACCCTGCGCTTTACATTTACCAGGAGCGGTTTGAAATAAATTTGTGTAAATCTGCACATAAATCGTAGGTACAAAACCAGTTGCCAAATTCTTGACAGCACTCCTTTAGATCAAAACATATAGGTACCTATACTTAAAAAAAACATGTTTGAAAGTGTTACCACTTCCATGCCTAATGTACTAATGTGTTTGAGATTTTTTGTAACAAACCCTAGCAAAATTTTTGAAAGTTGTATAATTTAACAAAAATTTGCTATTGAAAAAAAGTTCGGTTCCGTTGCGACGCTCCTGCTCAATTTTAAACTCGTGGTTAAATATGACGATGTAAACGACCATTAGATTTGGTAGGCAAATTTAACTACTTAATTATATAATAAACACATGGGTAGGTATACCTTCATTAGCTCTCCTAAGTTTGCGCCCTAATGCCAATTAATTATGGTACGTAGGTACTGCAACATTTCATCCACCTTAACTTCTTTGCTAATAGAGAATTGGTTCTCATGATCTTATTCAAAACTAGTTTTCTTAGCTATTTCTTTTCCATAAGCGCAGAAATTTGTAAGATAATTGTTACTTTCACTTGCGTTGTAAAGCTTTTAGATGGATATTTTAGACGAAACGTTTACTAGACGACAATTATTGGCTGAAATTGTTATGAATGCAATTCACTTTACGGCTGCAGTCCGCAATTGCAATTACTTCCGGCGTAATTGGTAGAAATCGACGAGAAATACCAGAAACTTACTATTAGATAGGTAGCTATTTACGAGTATACTGCCTACCTATACTACTATATAGGTAAGTACGTACCTACCCATAATTGCATCGGCATGAATAGGTCATGACATCTGAATTAATAAACTTTTCAGAGTAGGTAGACCACAAGGTTGGAAATATAGGTAGCAAATCAATAGCATTTTCGAGATTTAATTTTGTTGATAGGGCACCTATCTATCGGCCTAGTAAATATGTTACCTATCTAAATATCGGATCACGAGTTTGTAAAAGAAATTCTCTATACTTATTCATTCTACATGACTGGGAACTTGAATCGTTCTTTATGTGCAACTGATACCAGCACCACTTGCATTTTAATGATGATATTAACATAACATGTAATATAATTTATTTTATTATTAAATATATATTATGCAAATATTTAATACCTAAAAGTAAAAATGGTTTTAACTTTTTTCTTACCATATTTTTTGCTGAAAGGTATAATTACTGGATACCTGCAAATTATAAAAAGATTGTAACCGTTTATAAATTACAATTAATTAATGGGAATATATAAAAGTGGCTTTATACCTATCGATTAAATGACATGCTAAAATATCTTAGTGGAACAATTACGAAATGCCTCACCGTTAAAGCATCACAAGGATTATAGATGAATCACAATACTGCAATTACATAAGATGTACCAACGTTAAGTACCTTCTTATCTAGGTTCTAACAAACAGCAATTAAGTAAATGTGCAACCAAAATGGCGTTGCATCATACAAATAGTTCGGCTGTATAGATCGGAACCTGCATTCTCTGGTATGATAGCGCATGTCCTTAAAGCCCAATGCGCGCCTGGGCAAAGCTCCGTCCCGACTTTCATGTCGCAGTCATTATCGTTGAACCGCCCCATTGCTTCTGTAACATACGACGGACAAACTTTGAATTCCTGCAAATAAATGAGTATTTAGCTAAAGCTCTCTGGATGCCCAAGTGCAGATAAACTTCGTGTGTTATTAAGATTATAATCTTATTTATACTCATAGAAACCCACACGGCACTCATTAATATCGGTCACAATTTTGCATCAGAACGAAATTAACAGACATTATAATGAAAATAAGGTATTTTTTTATTATTCCCAAATGCATACACTATACGCGACAGGTAATTTGAGATATAAAGTAATCCGCCGTCAGTAACAAGTTGTCTTATGGCATTCTCGCGCCGTTAATTTCCAATAAAATCAAATTTTTGTTATTAAATTCTAGCTAACAGATGCACCATCCGCGACAATAACATTAAAAATGTTGATTCTTTTTAACTACATCTTTTTGTTTTTCTTTGCAGATGGCGACTACAGGGTTTGATCCTCCTTGATAATTAAACTAATTCTGTATGCAAAGAAGATAATACAGGTGGGTGTAAAATTATTTCCCTTCTATTGTGTATAATGTACGTTTAGTACGCGACATTTTAAAAGATCAAGCTTGTTTAATTTATTTAAGTTGTTTTCTTCTATACGCTTTAGAACGGGGTTTTAGCTTATTTAAATAAAATACATATAAAATGTTCACAGTATCGCATCCAAATAAATATACGATAGCATTATCTTACCCACTTACTGCTTAGTTCAATTACCAAAAGAATTGCTAAGATATTCTCTTATTATTGTAAATAAATAAAGAGCCAAGACATAATATTTTTATTATTGTACGAACAGCATAAAAACTAGACCACATAAATTTTAGTTTCCTACATTGGCCACGTCACACAGATATGTCCTCGCCGCCAATTCCTTCAGAGTACGTGATCCCAGTCGGGTCAGGTTGTCCTGACTAAAAGACTTTTGGACGTTTACGTTGTATATGAGGGCCATACAAACCGACGGGTGCATTACGTATATATAAAATTACATTGAGCTCGGTCTTCTATATTGGATATCTTGCTTCAAATACACCTTTATAATGCCATGCCGGCGTATGTATTGATATGATCCAGGTACGTCTCCCTTCTTGCTGTATAAAGATCCTTACAATAATGTTTCCTTCCCACTGAAAATCATACAGACATGTTATTTGGTCTCGAAGCTCCAGGGACCTATAGGGAGAATGCATTTTGTTTTATTTTTCTATTCACTCCGGTAGGATTTTTTTGTAGATACCCACTTTATTTTTCCGTTTTCATTTAAGGCGCATATTGCCTTTATTACACTTCAATTCATAAAACCTAAAAATTTTCGTCGATAATTAATCTTTTATTATTCCATTTACTTTCAAAGTTTAGGTCACGTTTCCTTTAAACTTAAGGATAGAAGGCATAATTAATGCAAATACTTATTTCATAAGGACGAATTTTTTTCCTTTCTTTTAATATTTTTTCTTAAGCTTTTAGAGTAATTAATTTTATTGGGTCTGTATAATTCCATTTTATACAATTTCCTTTCGTAAATTCTCTGCAATTAGCTACATATACCCGATTCGTGAACTTGTGCACTGCACTCGGTTTATATTAAAACGGACATTTATATTCCACTTGCACTCAAGAGAAAATAAAATATCTTCGATTTTCAAGTAAAGTTTTTCGTTGATTCTTTGAGCAGAAAACATTAATTGAAAATAGCTAACCTCAATCTTGTTGACGCGAAGTTACATCATTTATGTGTAATAGATATATTTTACTTACTGTGTAGCTAAAAATAACTGCTTTGTCTATTTAAAGAATATTATTTGTGTTATCTTTTTATTTTTGTGGTTGTTCAAATTGCGGGTTTACTTACTATCAGCTGTAATTTATGAAACACATTGCGCGCCAATTTCATAACAATTTTTAGCGATAGGGATTATTGCCAAATATTTATTAACAGATCCTTATACTGGTCTTAAGCTGGAAATTAAATAGCCTCTGTTCCCAAAACTTTGCATGATTACTTAATTGAGGACAAACATAAGGGTTTCAAGAGTGCCCTCTTTTAGTACAAGGTTCATATAGTAATTTTGTTTTAATATTGAAATAATTAAGAATCGGTCTTCGGTCTTTAATTTATAATAGAAACTTCAAAATTTTTTGACCTACTGTGAAATATGTAACCTAGTGACAGTTCGCAACCTTAGGGTGTCTCCGTAAGTCCTACTAAGATAGTAATGTAGGCATCATGAGCGGGTACACTTAATCTAAAAAGATAGCATAAGTTTCTTTTCAAAAATAACAAATATTATATAAAAATATTTAATAATATTTAAAAAATCAATTCAAAAAAATGCAAAAATGTTAAAAACATTAAAAAACTTTTGAATTTTTAAAATTTGCTTATATCTTTTTTTCAAATTTGGTTGATAAAAATGTTTAACTTTTTCTAGTGTTCTATTTTTGAAAAAAAATTATTATCCATTTAAGAAAATGAGGTTAGGATCGATAACTTTTTAACCTGGCCACTTATAATTATTTTGACCGAAAAGATTATTCAAAAATCGTAATGAAATGTTTGTAATAAACATTTTTCTGTATCTCTTTTAACTAAGGAAATATATGGTCATTCTCGAATTTACAATTCCTTTCCCCCGTACGTGTTAAGCGATCGTAGTTCTTTACATTTTGATTTTACTGTTTAAAGTTTTATCCAAAAAGAGCACATGACGCCTATATATTACTTTTTTGATAGCACTAACAATTTTAGAGACACCCTGTGCAAGTGTCGAAAAGGACACACTGTAGGTACATTTTTCGTTACATACTGATTAGTGATTATACAAGTTGCGATTTAAAAAAAACGCCGTAATTTGTACTATCAATAGTTTTTGTCCAAATTGAATGGAATTTGGCTACTGTAGATAGCGGTTGCTTTAAACGGCGTGTTCACTTGTTTTTTGTAATTTCCGGTTTGATCTAAAATGATAACTTTTGAATTTTATAGTGGGAATCCCTATATATTGTCACATACATATTTCGAAAAAAATAAAATGACAAAATTTGGGATACCTATGAGGTATCATTATATTCAGATTGTAGACAGTCATATTTAAAATTCAAAGATTGTCATTTCCAGTGAAACCGATGATAATAATGAATAATCGATCAAAAGGAATCATTTAAAAGATTGTAAAGATGGCCGCTCTTTCGGTTGTATCAGAACGATACCGGAACTTTCTTATTTCAAATGGCACTATCATTTCTGATGGCAGTTTCGAATTCCTCATAACAAATCAGTATGACTTTGTCAATATGATGCTATGTTTAAGTGACATGGTTTCGAAGTTATTTGACATTTTTGACATTTTTTGACGGTTGCAGAGGTTCAGTAAATTAGCTATCACTGCTGCCTGACAATCTTAGGAAATTTGTTTTTTTCAGAATGAACACGCTTTCAAATGGTGTTGGTCTGATTTTCAATTATGAGATTCGAAAATAATACGAATAAGCGTTCAAAGTTGACAATCCGTTTTTGGTCAAAAACTCGAAATTCTCAAATGGAAACCATATCTTAACCTTACAATGGTCACAACTTTACCTAATATTGTCTGTTTTATCGACTTTTATCGAAATATTTGATGCTTAATATACTTACCTATCCCTGTGGTGACATTTTTGGTTAATAATGAATATAAATGCAGACAAGATACGATTTTCAGTTATACGAGGCACAAGTGGACAGACGGACGGACGGACGGACGTGCAAAACCTAGGGAAAAACTATCACATGAGGGAAATTTCTTTCGAAAAATTCCCCTAAAAAGAAGTTCTACTCAAGTCCAATCATAACTACGTACATTCTGCAAGTTCGCTTTTTAATGAATTGGTTTCAATCGAATTCTAGAAGTTCAAGGATCAGCGTTATTGAATATGAGCCGGATTAAAAGTCGTGCTTCCGAATGGGCGCTTAGTGTCAAAAAATTTCTCTACTGAAAATCGTATGCGATTTCTTCGTATCTTTTTGATTCTGGTCTCGTTTGCTAGTACTCATCTATTTTTTTTCCATCCTTATTACTGCATTTTAAGTTTACCTAGTATGGTGATTCAAATAAAGTTGATTTCGGTTCTACCATCTCAAAAAGGTATACATACATTTTTTTGCGATTTTGATGCAAACATAAAAGAAGCATGATACAAAAAATCGTATATAGTTATATACGATCTTTAGGAGAATGTTTTGAAATTCCACACGCGTGGAAATCGGCGCAGGTTTGAGTTCGCGGTCACTTTTCGTTCTCGAGGTAGACGAGGGCCATACGGACAGACAAAACATAAAAAAATTAAATTGGTAGTTACTCGTAATTTATTGACAAATACCTAACCAAACATAACTCCCGTGTCTCACCACAGGAATCTAAATAGAGAGTTGATGTTGGTGTAAAATTTACACGCTTGGCGTCGGATAACCCAGTTAGTTTTCCTAAGAATTATATGAATCCCAATCAGGATTTTTTAGTTTTTTTATTTTCCAAATGGACGGTTTTGACTAAAACAATATTATACAAAACGTTTAATAGGTATTATTGATGGTTTGTATGATGTATACCAGAAAGTTACTTTTTCCGTATGGGGATCAATTTGCATTTTCAGATTTTTTAAAAGTAAACTCTGGTTTTCTATTATGATTTGGATAAAATGCTAAAATTAATTAAAGTTTATAAAGGAGAACAAATAATTTGTGAATTACCTAACCTGTAAATGCAAATTATTATTATTCCTAATTAAAACACAAAAGTAAAAACTTCTCCACTATAAAATAAAGGTGATTAAAAAATCCAAAAATACAATTTGGTCATCATAAAAAACAAAGTCATTTGCTTTGCAATTGCACTCTCAAATTTAGAACCAAATCATTAACCCCTAAAAAGAGCCATGGCCCATGGTACGGTTAGTTTGAATTTTGATGTCAACTTTAGCAACTTTACTCCAAGTTAGGTAACGTAAAGGCCGGTCCAGACGCTACGTTTTGCACAACGTTTTGTCTGCACAGTTCAACACGTTGCAGATAAAACTTTGCGTGTGGATAGGAAAAATGCGCAGTTTTGAAATCAGCGCGAAGACGGTGCAGTTGCAGTGATAACTGAGTTAGAGAGCATAGATATCCTTAAACTGCGCGGACAAGCCGGCGCAGTGTAGACGGTAGCTCCGTTTTCCTATTTTGTTGACAGCATGCAAAAATTGACCAGAGTAGTACCTCCTCCATGACGATGCCAAAAACTGGGCGAAATATACAGATATCTCTGCACCATGTGGACGCTCTAAAATTGCAACGTAAGACTGCACGGGACAAAACGTTGTGCAAACGTAGCGTCTGGACTGGCCTTAACAACGCCATAGTGTCGCGTGTTAACAGGAAAAGGAATGGTCGAGCGAGAGGATTTGGTGTGTGAATCACCAAGCGTATACCTACATGTGTTTATCGCTTCGTAATGTCTAGGCATCTACTGAA